TCGTATTTGAGATGAGATGAGATTCAACTTTATTGTCATTACACATATACAAGTATAGAGTAACGAAATGAGGTTTGGCATCTCACCAGAAGTGCAAATAAGCAGAAAGTGCAAGAGTCTGTGCTATGTACAGTAATTGAGTGCAAGAGTCTGTGCTATGTACAGTAATTGCAAAATTTACAGATGTAGCCAAAAAAAGTGAATTATTAGGTATATCTGGATGGCTGGATTAATGGGATGCAATAAATATAAATAAATGCTATAAATAAGTAATGCTACAAAATAAGTGTGTTCTTAGGATTATAATATACAGATTAAGATGCAGTGAGCATGCTATACTAATAATATACAGATTAAGGTGCAGTGAGCATGCTATACTAATAATATACAGATTAAGGTGCAGTGAGCATGCTATACTAATAATATACAGATTAAGATGCAGTGAGCATGTTATACAAGTTTACAGATAATTTAAAGAATATGAACAAACTATAATACAATAATACAGATGGATGAGAGATGTGTGTGTGTGACCAGGAGGAGAGGTGGGGGGATGATGGGTGTGAGGTGATATGGAGGGGAAAGGGGGGGGGGGGTCAGCAGGGTGCGGAGAGAGAGAGGGAGAGAGAGAGAGAGACAGAGTTCAGAGTTCGGGGGGTAGAGTTCAGTAGAGAAACAGCTCTGGGGAAAAAGCTGTTCCTCAGTCTGCTGGTTCTGGTCCGGAGGCTTCTGAAGCGCCTACCGGAGGGCAGGAGGGTAAACAGTCTGTGGGCAGGGTGGGAGGAGTCTTTAAGGATGCCATGAGCTCGCCGCAGACAGCGTTTTCTTTGGACATCCTCAATGGCAGGAAGTGGACACCTTGTGATGCGCTGGGCGGTTTTTACCACCCGCTGTAGCGCCTTACGGTCTGCGACAGAGCAGTTTCCGTACCAGACTGAGACACTGCTTGTCAGGATGCTCTCGATCACACAGCGGTAGAAGTTCATCAGTACAGCTGAAGACAGGTGGTGTCTCTTCAGTGTCCTCAGGAAAAAGAGGCGTTGATGAGCCTTCTTAACCAGACTGGAGGTGTTAGTGGACCAGGAGAGGTCCTCTGTGATGTGGGTCCCCAGGAACTTGAAGCTGGAGACACGTTCAACAGCCATCCCGTTGATGTGAATGGGGTTGTGCGTGCTTCCTCTTTCTCTCCTGAAGTCCACGATGATCTCCTTCGTCTTGCAGAAATTTATTCTGCAGAAAGTCAGAGTGAGCTGATGTGAGAACGCAGCAGGATATAATCAGGAGAATTCACCTGGAGCGAGTGGGTGGGGTGGGGTGGGGGGGAACGTTTATTCCCTGTGATCGCTGCACGACCATAGACTGTCTGCACGCCACCTCTACCATCTCTGTGTTCTCAGTGAACCTGCTGCATTATGTTTCCTGTTCTCCAGTATGTTCTTCTCCACTCTTTAGTTCAGATTGTGACGTCAAACATACACTTGCAGTAAACGGAAACCTGGGTTCAGTTTACATTTGGGGGACTCTGAAACGTCTGCCAGATGGTAAGAGCTCAAAGCCAACGATCCAATCAAATTCATCCCAACATTATGTCCTGCCTTCTAACTTGTGATTGGTTCTCTCCCGTTTCAGTTGAAAATATGTCAAGACACCACGCTTAGATCCACTCTGCATCCGTTCATTATTTCATTCTTTGCTCTGTGAATTTAGTTTCCCCTCGCAAACAATATGACATGTGGTGCTGTTATTTTGAAGGTGGACTAATGGATGTGTGGTGTTTTGTATTTTGGAGGTGTTGACTCAGATCACTCCAACTCATCAATAAACGGCTCACGGTGAGCCGATTTTATTAATTCTTTTACAAAAGTCAAAGCTCATTGCCTTGTAGAGCCCCCTCCGTCCTCCTTCCTCCTTCCTCTTTCCTCGTTCGTCTACACGAACTTGCCGGCTGTTCGGACACTCCAACAGGAAACAATAGAAACAAACTGGTTTTGTCGCTCCTCGTAGCGACTTAAACACTTGATGCCGCTAACTTGATCTGGAACCAACAAAAAGAGGACAAACACACGAACTATTGTGATTTTAAAAACTAGCTGTGTTTTCTTAAACTCCTGGTAAAATTAAAAGATGATGAAATCATTTTTCTTGTGTTTTCACTTCTCAATTCACTTCAGTCTGGTTTCCTTGTAGCATTGATGCTAACGGATGCTAACTGCTCTTTCTATCAAACTGAAGCTTCTTATCCGTTTGTTTAGCAGCTTTTATAATTTTTAATTCCTTCCTCCACGTTTCATAAACAAACTGAAACGTCCAGTCAGAGCTGAGAAAACCACAAACATCACCCCAGCCGCTAAATCCCAATCAGATTAGGCTCCTAATCTGGGCTCTGAGAGGGAGGTTTCTCCTGCAGGAGGCCACTTCAGGAGCTCAACCACACAAAACTGCAGAGTGAAATATCCCACAGTGAGCCACAGGAATTCTCACACACTTTAATCCTTTCATTAAAACAAGCCCCCCCCCCCACTCCAACACAGACATCCAGACTCTTTGTCGTCGACATGTTTGAAAAACTGTAAAACTTTTATTTTCTTATTTCCTCATCCAGAATCCCGCCATCTGCGACCGTCTGCGTCGTTGCTAGGCGACCTATCACAGCCGGAGATCACCGTCACTCATCATCATCACGCTTCCTCCGACTCCTCGTCTCTGGCTCCACTGGTAGAGCAGGAGGGCGAGGCCTACCTGGAGAAGACGGGCGGCCTGAGGCGCCACACTGTGGCCAATGCACACTCCGACGTCCAACTACTGTCGGCGTCGGGGAGAATCCACGCCGGGTCCGAGGAGGACAGCGGGATGGGAGGGGACGAGGGAGGGGTGGAGTTTTTAGTCGGGGGCGGGCCCTTGAGTCCCAGGCCGTTCTCCAGCCAACCGGATATGGTGGAGTGTCCGAGGGGAGGAATTATCTGCTAGCTGAGCGGCTTTTGAGAGAACGCATGCGAGGGACGATACAGGATGGGAGAGGAGAAACTGGGAATTATGGGAATTAAGAACCAAGACAGTCAAATACAGGACGAACGAGAACTAAAGATGCCGGATGGGAAAGAAACAAAGCAGCAAAAACCTGCCAGGCGAGTCACATAAACAGGAACCAAGAAGGAGGAGGAGACCTGGAGCTCCCAGCAGGACCACGGCTCTGGATCGGGATCAGTCTCTGCACTGGGAGGACTGGGACTCTTAACTGGGCAGAGCTGCAGGTTCTGGATCTGCTCTCTTCAGGTTGTGTAAATATGTTCTTTGAGGTTTTTGTTGATGACAATAAAGATTCATTCAATTAAATTAAACTTGCCTTGAGCGCTTAACATCCTTTTTTTTGTGCAACGTAACTAGGCGAGCCCAATCAGGCTGTAACCTGGAAGCGGGGAGCCCCGGTTTAAATCCGACCTGTGGCTCCTTTCCCGCTCTCCCTCTCTCTCTCCCTCTATCCACTGTCATGTCTCTACAATTTAGCAAGCGGGGGGTTTGGGTTTACCAATAGTCCCACCGGCAGCAAACAGGAAGCTGCATACGAGTTAACATGGCCAGGAGGCGAAGGAACGTGAGGTTCTCCTGGACTGTAAGAAGGAGGAGAAACTGATGGAGGGTGGAGAGAGTGAGAACGTCTCTTTGACATGTCGTCCTCTTTGTACCACGATAAAGAGGAAAGAAGGAAAATAAAAGTGTAAGAAAATTGCTGCAGCCTTCAAAATCTCTGGTGATTTGAACTCAATCATTATTCTCTGGATTTTGAGGGCTGCAGCAATTTCTGTCCCCTTTTTATTTTCCTCTTTATTGTGGTACAAAGAGGAGGACACGTCAAAGAGGCTGTTTCTCCTTTTTGGTCTTTAGACGTGAATCAGGAATCAGGTCAACATTTCAGGACGAGGTAAATGTTCAAATCAATTAATATCCCTCGTCTCTCTGATCCTCTATTTTAGTTTGACATGTTTTTTTTCCTCCAGTTTTGAAGTCTTAAAGTGACAGGACATGTATCTGGTCTGAAGTTCAGCAGAGAAACACTAATGTGCTCTCAGAGTGTTTGACCTTCATGGGGATTTAACAGCCTGACTGCTCATTCTCCTGCCTGACCTCTGACCTCTGAACCAGGCTAACCAAGAAGCAGTATTAAGGTCAGGAGTAATTCCTCTGCTTCCTTCCTCGTCCTGCAGATCCACTCTTTGACTCAATCTGTGAGTTATCTGAGCTGAGCTGGACAGAGAGAGATAGTGTGAACTTTCAGACTCAGTCCTGCTTCAACAAGAAATTTTAAACAGCTGCTGTAGTGCCCCCATGTGGTGTTTTCAGAGAAGTGACTACTGGACTGGGTTTTATTCAACTGCTTTGCTTCCTCATTTCTAAATACAACACAGTTTCCTAAAAGTTAAACTGTGCACTAACAAATATTTTTATTGAAATTAGAAGAAAGACAAGATGTGAAACGCTGAAAACTGAGAAATAATTTGTTTTATTCTTTACAAAAATACACGCCCAGTTTGAATTATGAAGCCAGCAACGCGTTTAAATAAAGTTGTGTCAGGGTCATGTTTACTTCTCTCGGCCACTTGAATCTACGATCTTACGGCTCGTCTGCTGTTGGTACCAAATGCAGAAGTGAGGTAATTAAGGCTACGGTGTCCCAGAAGTTCAAATGTCAACATTGCATGTTTTTTTTTTCTCAGAAGGTGAATGTTCTTTTTTTGGCGTCTGGTTAAATTAATTTTGCAAGCATGACTCTTTAAGGCCCCCTCCCCATGTGCCCACTCTCTTCTGATTGGCCAGTTCTCTGGAAGCCTTCTGGGGAAGCAGAATGCTGCTCTCCAGAGCTGGGAGAAGAGGGTCTATGTAAGAGGTTTCACTGGCTTACATAGAGGCTTGAAGACGTCTGGTGAAATTTTTGGTTTCATATCAGAGGACTATGGAGTGATTTGCAGAAGAAGACATTTTTTTTTACAATTAAATAGAAGTCAGGAGATTGGAATGTGTTTATTAGAGATGTTTGTGTCACAGTCACGTCTACAACATGAGATTAAAAAATAAACTCTGCTTTATTTCTTCACAAACATTCAAACAGGACCAAGTCCAAACTCCTCGTCCTTCACAAAACTCCTCCACTTCCGTCTTTTTCCAACTTGTAAGTGCTTCAAAGACAAACTCTTTACGTCAGACTGTACACTATGATTTTACTCTCATTTCACAGATTTGGCACAGACATTGTTTTTTCTCTCTCCACAGAAAATCTTCAGTCAGTTTCACATGTAGGGGAAGTTACAGATTAACTCTCTAACAGAAACATTCAATCCTCAGCAGGAAATGACTTGACTCATTCACATGAAACAAAAATAAAAACATCAGACGTTACATTTCAAGTTTAAGGCAGCCAAAGACAATTTATCTGATTTATTCAGGGGGGTGTTTCTGGGAGTTGTAGGAGACTTTCCTTCAGTCTTTAAGTCACCAAAACATTCAATGTAGACGCTTCAACCAGGCACTGTCTGAAGTTAGCTTAGCAATGATGATGCTATATTGTAATGTAATGAGTCAATGGCGACTTCTATGCTTACTATGCAAGCACATTTTGCCAAATATCAAAAAGTTAAATGTCAATTTATGACTCAAATTTATCTTTGAAATTCAAACTTTTGTATTTTCAATTGAAAGAAACAGTTAGCTAAATGGTGCTAGCTCAATGGCTGTTCAAATAGGGTTACTTAGCTCACTGCTAACTTTGCTAGCAATCTTTCTATTAAAACATGTTTTACTAATTGGAACAATTTCATACTAGTCAATCATGGTTGAAAATGATCATTACATACAACAAAGAGGAGCAGTTATCCACTTAGCTGTTAGCTAAGTTATGATGCTAGCTTAACAATGAGTCAATAGCTAGTTTAATGTTTGTTTTAAAGAGAGACAGTTGCCTACTTAGCTGTTAGCTAAGTTATGATGTTACGCTGCTAGCTAGCCTTCATAAATGTATGGCCAGTTTAACCATTATTATGCTGGACAACGTTGAAATGTTAAAACTGTTGATTCATGGTCCAAAGTGATCTTTTCAGATCACTAATTCTGTTAGCGTACAATGTCTCACTCGTCAGTTAACGGTTCAAATCGATCATTATCTTATTAGCTGTTAGCTAAATCCTGATGCTTATTGAATGTAATCGTATGATGAAATTAAATTGTTTAGGCTCATATTCAAGTAATCATAAAAAAGACTAACGTTCATTCAGTAATGTTTAAAAATGAAAAAACGTTTAAAATACAAAAGTACAAAAGTTTACAGAAAATGGGTCCAACGTTTAGCTTGTTGGCTAAGTAACCATGCTAGGTCTATGAGCGGGATCTAATGAGGGGTATTTTGAACGCTAATTGAGAGTTTGAAATGATATAAAATCACTAAGATACAAAGGTTTGTTTTAGTGATGTTTTAAATGAACAGATAACAGTTCCTGTCGTAGCTAATCCAGCATTATTATCCTGAATCATTGGAAATATTAACGTTTGGATGTTTATATTGTCCAGGAGAGTCCTGAGTCGTGATTTCAAAAACATTCTGGATTAAAATAAGAGTTATAACGCAGGTCCACCAAACTGCAACCACTTATTCATTACATCCAACGTGCTGGTCAACGTAGGCTACCAGAATTTTAAACTCTGATTCTACGCTAGTAGGATATCTGGCACCTCCCTATCGATACCTTTTTCGATACCACAGCAACAAAAATAGACTTTTCTCATCATTGGGGGGTTTGTAGACAGACTAGAGACACATATTAATGTTAGAACAACATGTTGGAGTGTATTTTACAGAATGTGTGACCTTAAGATTTTTTGTTTTGGCTTCCTGTGCCTTCTCTAGAGAGACATGACAGTGGACAGAGCTGTAAATCAGGGACAGAGAGAGAGCATGGACAGGGCAGACCTGAACCCGGGCTGCCCCGCCCCGAGGACCACAGCCTCTGCACAACTGGCACACGCACCAACTACTAGGACACCAGCACCCCCAGGAGTAGCAAAAACTATGCATGTCCAAATGATACCAAAGTTCTTGGACAATTCAGACAAACTGCATGAGTTTTGATTATTCAAAACATGAAACAATCAAATACTTGGTTGCCTAGGAGTCATGTTTTTGTTGCCATGGTATCAAAACAGGTTTCACTATCGTTTTAGTTTTTACTAGAATTATACAGAAGTTCAACGTCTGGTTTCGTGAAAGCCCGGGTCTGAATTACTGCATGTTTAACCTGAACTGAACTTTACATGGACCTGACAGGTGTCTGTGTGTTAGTAGAAATCTGGATGAATAAGGTCTGCGCACACACACACAAAAGGGTGCGCACACACACTCACACAGAGTAAAAATGTACATCTTGTTTATGTTACATCCCGTCGTTTTCTCCGGCCTCCCGACTTCTATGTGACCTCTGCATGCCCTCTCAAACATGCTGTCCTCAGAGGTCAAAGGTCACCCTACTGTTTTTGTCTAAAGTGACGTCACTATGGTAACCGGGTCTCTTCAGGGTCAGAGTTCGGCTGCTGCGGTCACGGTGGTCTGGCTGTTCCGGAGAGCCGTCTCCTCTCACTGCCGGCCACCTAGTGGTAAGTCTATGTAAGTGCAAGTTTCTTCTTCTTTACTCCCTGATTGGCTTCAGTGTCAGGTTCCTGTCCTCTGATTGGCCAGCCAGCAGGGCACCTCACCACACCTGGAAAAAATAAAACAAGAATCATCAAGTAGCTCTTCTGTTTTTATTTTTTTATTGCTTTTATTTCTTCTGATTGTCTTTTGTCTTTGTCTAATTCTGATTTAAATGTCCAATCAGTCTATGACGGAGACAGGCTAACTGTCTCCTCTGTCTCCAGTTTCATGATGAGGTCGGCTCGTCATATCCTTATATCTTTTTTTTTTTTTTTACCTCTCTCTGAGTGTCGGCTGGCTGCTCAGGAAGCTCAGCTGCTGCTCCAGACGGCAAACTCTGAAGGCCAGGTAGCAGGACGACAGGACCAACAGGAAGACCCTGAGACAGACAGACAGACAGGCAGGCAGGCAGGCAGGCAGGCAGGCAGGCAGCCAGACAGACAGATAGACAGACAGACAGACAGGTAGAGGGAGGGAGGGACAGATGGAAGGACAGACAGAGAGAATGAAATGAAACCAGAAAAAGAGAAAACAGATTGTTTCTTTATTAACATTCACAGCGTGTTGTAAAAATTCTGAAACTAAACTGCAGACAGTTTCAAAATCCCCCTTCACTCTGTAACATAAATTCTTAATCAATAAAGAAAACATGAAAGATAAAATACAGTAATCCCTTAAAGAGACACTACAGTGCTGTCAGAGCGTCTCATGTTACAGTACAGAGTATCATCCAGCAGAGGGCAGCACAGAACAACACAAACATTTCATACCGGAGTTTTCTTTAGGATGAAACTGGAAAACACAGAAGACATTAAACACACCACAGGCTTAACGTCAACACTGATAAATCATCTATGACTACAGCCAAACAATAAATAAGATGAGACCACAGTACTGTTAATACTTTTTAAACTGTATAAATAAACATGCTGCTGTTTGGGGATGTCACTCTAGATATCGCTCTTTTTCATACTCAGGGAAAAAATCCCCCCAAAAAATATTGAAAAAGGGAAAAACTGTCAGCAGAAATAATTCATCACCGGTCACATCAATCACTTTCAGTGTTTGCATCACAGAGACGAGACTCAGCCCAGGTTCATTCACGGCTGCCAAAGTGTGATTGTTGACCTTTTTAAAATACACATTATCACCATTTATGTGTACAAGAATGAGCGAGAGAGAAATCTGCTGGTACCTCCCTCCAGTTGGCTATCTGGCCCCGCACTAAATCAATGTTTCTGCAGGATTCTGAACATTTCCGGGTGTTTCGTGGGAGTATTGGTTGTGGGACTCACAGCAGGACGAAGAGTTTCAGCAGCTGGTACTCCATCTGTCCCAGTTCAGGCACTGGTTCTGTCAGCAGGATCTTCTCCGTCTCCAAACTGCTGTCTGTAGAACACACAACAGAAAGAAACCCACTGAAATATCTATCCACAGTGTGTACCTCACGGGTTGTCCTGTGACTGTTTGAGTGACGGGGGGGGGGGGGGGCGGGGCCTACCTGTGAGCGTGTGTGTGCTGAAGGTTGTGTCTGCGACGAGGCTGGGGGTGGAGTTTCCCAGCAGGTCCGGGAGGGACGAGGACACGGCGGGGAGCGACGGTTTCCTCCTCCACTTCAACACCTCTGGAAACTCATCCTTAAAAACAATTCAGAAATAAAGACTTTCAAAATAAAGGTCTGAAGGTCCTTCTCGATTTTTCTCCCAAGTCAACAATTTCAAATTTTACGATTCAAATCAGCAAAGAATCTACAGCAAGTGTAAGAGGTCCACGTACACTGAACATGGATTAATCCGCCGCTGAAAATAGTCCCAAACAAACGCTTTAATTCTCCTGTTTGTTTACTAAACACTTGTCATGTGTAACCCCTTCCTGAGCCCGCCACGTGTCTGTGCGTCATATTAACAACATTTTAGATGGAACCTAAAGGCAGCGCGGGGAAAGCCTCTTATCCACGGAGCATGAAGGGGTCAGTGAAGGTCACACACAGGACCGAACAACAGCTCCTGGTATTTCACTAAGCCTGTTTCACTGACCGTTGACTCAGATCAAAACATTCACATTGTCTCACTGACGAGATGTTTGTGTTTCTAGATGTTTGCTCTCTCTCCCTCGCCGACAGGAAGTTTCCACACAGAGGCATGAACTGTAGGCGAGGGGCTCATCTGGATATTTCAAGGGGGCGCTGTTGAGTCATCTTACAAAATGCATCTACCAAACCACCATGTTCTGTTAAAATGACACAGCATCCTGTTGGTGACGCTGCACGGTCTGCTCACTCTCATTGGTTGTTGCAAGTATTTCAGCCCAATCTGGAGCCCTAACCCTAAACCAAGTCCAGATCAACGTGAAGGTAAAGTTACCATAGAGAGAGAGCTGGGCTCCTCCAGGTACTGCTTCAGACTCAGACTCTTCCCGTTCACCTGCGGACACCAGAAGAAGAATCAGGATCAACTAAAGACCAAACTCTTCCTCTGGTCAGGTTATCAGAAGAATAAAAAGTCGAGGCTCCACAGACCTGCAGGTGTGTGCAGATCCTCCGCAGGACGTCGTACACGCTGTCTCTGGACAGCAGTGACACAAACACGTACTGCAGAGACGCACACACACACACACACACACACACACACACACACACACACACACACACACACACACACACACACACACACACACACACACACACACACACTGTGTGAACTTAAAAACATTATAGTCACATGAAAACAAGTTCAAACCTCAAGAAGCCTGAAATACAAAGTAATTCACCCAGTCATGTAGTCAGAAGTATTTAAGATTTAATGAATGTGCAGGAATGTGTCGTACTAAGAGAGTTACTAAACCAGAGCTTTATAAGATATGGTTTAAGTAAAAATCATCAAATTGTTACCATAGCAACAAAAATAGACGGAAACCTCCTTCACACTGTCTAAGCAGTAAAACACTTCTGCAACGTTTCAGTACCAAAATATTTCCAATGTTTTTATTTAAAGAAGCAATATGTATCCCTGACCCCTAGTGTTTAAAATGGGTAGTGCAGTCTAAATTCTAATCATTGTAGAAAGCTGTCTCCCCCCGCCCCCTCCTCTCTAGAGTTGATGCTCACGCAGGTTGCCATGTGGTGGACACTGAAGCTTCAGTGTTTAGCCAGTTCTGCATCGGTCTGTAAACCTTTCTGTGTTCTAACCTCTCTCCATTTTTCAAAAGCATCTCCAATATTGATCCTAGTTTGAGCACGTTTCTGCTCGTGGAGCTTATTAGAAACATGCAGAGGCTTTTTAGGTCGGGTACAATCACTTCTATCTGAACCAGTTCTCTTGCCTGCTTCCATCGCTGCAACACCTGTTGGTTTGACCTGATAACTGCTCTCATATCTGGCAAACCGAGGGGTGTCCAAAACAGGGGTGCCTTAGAACCGCCTACCTTCTCTGGTCCAAACAAATCCAGAGCATTCAGGACCAGAATCTAAAGTTAGAAGGAGGACATACTGGCTGCTGCATTGTTGTCAGAGAAGCCAGCACTTCAACATAGCATGTTTCCTTAATGTCTGATCATATAGTAAGCTCACTTTATCATTTCACTCACTACAGATCTCACTGATTGTTTTTTTTGCCTTTATTTGACAGGGCAGTGGACAGAGTAGTAAATCAGTAGAGAGAGTGACATGCGGGGCTGTGCGCTTGGAGGACTGTAGCCTTCGCACATGGGGTGGGACCTTACTGCAAGACCATCAGCGCCCATATAGTATTTTTTTGCACTTTACATGACAACCTTGCCGTTTTCGTCAGTAGACTGACAAGAACGGCATACAAACACGTTCAAAAATACACAATATCCCTTTAACTCATACTGTTTGGTACCTTCTGTCCCGTGTCCATGGTGATAGCCAGCCCGTTCGGCACCAAACCCGCAGTCCTGTGTTTCTTCACCAGCCGCACGGACACCACAGGTATACACACCTGCACACACACACACACACAGCAGAGAACAATTCAGCTTTTATTTTGGAAGGCAGAGCACACGCTTCCTGTTTCCTGTGCTGCTGCATGTCACGTAGCAATGAATCAATCACATTAAAATATTATTTTTTCATACATCATGTTCTGATACTGGTTTGACCTTTGACCTGGACTCTGCACCAACAGACGTCTAGAACACAAACACATAGAACATACACAGGTAGACTCAGCAGAGTCATAAGGCTCATGTATGTAAACTGGTCGTTTACCTTCTCTGCACACTGAACTCGTGTTCCTGCAGAGCTCTGAAATGATCTGGATTTTAAAACAAGGCCGGTTAAGACCACCACTGATCGGCTATTTTTCTATGTGATTAGAAGGAAAATGCCCCTTTTTTTAAAACAATGAATAACTTCAATTCCCTGGTGTTGTGGTCTAGGTGAGTGACACGCCTGCTGCACACAAGCGGACTGGATGGAGACGACTGGAGTAGAGGCGTTTGTGCCCGGGGCCTGAGATGTTAAGAGATAAGAGTTTATTGATCTTTATCTCATTATATAAATAAACAGCTGTTGCTAGGTAACTGAATGTCTCTTTGGAAATCCATACAGGTCTCTTATGGTCTCAGGCAGGTCCTGGTTTAGGTTAGTCTGGTCTTCACTATAAAACTACCCCAAATTAAAATGAACAAAGGTTTAAAGGAAAAGGTGTTTATGGTGGGCGGAGCTTCTAAACTCACCTTGATGTCTTTACCAAACAGGTTAGCATAGAAACACAGCCAGTTCCTGGAGATGTAGAGTCGACCCTGCAGCAGGATGTCTCTCAACAGCGCACACGAATACACTACAGGAGAAGAAGAAGAAGACAGTGATAAGAAGAAGGAGACGAAGATGAAGAGGGACAATGGAGAGAAGGCGAAGAAAAAGAAGTTCAGAAGAAAGAGGAAGGAGGAGGAGAAACAAGACGAAGACCAAAAATAAGGACAGAAAGAAGAAGAGAAGAAGTGGGAGATAAGAACGAAGAAACATGTAGAATAAAAAATGAGTAAAAGCAGAAGAACATCAAAGACATGAAACACATATGAGCTAACAGGAGGTCAAACAGGTGGATAAACCGGGTTCAGGCAGGTGTTGTACGGTGCAGGTAAACAGTCCGTACCTTTCATCAGGATCTCCTCTTTAGGAACAATCTGGAACAGTTTGTGGTACTGAGAGTTGTATTTGCTGACAGTCTGTGAAGGCAGCATAAAACACGGGATTATTGATCACGTTTCTGTTTCTGTTATTTATTTAATGTAATGTGGTTAACTGCTGCATTAAAACACATGTATATATATGGTTGACCTCAATATAATAACTTATTAAATAAAATGCTTACAAGAAAAGATCAGCAGATAAGAGTCATTCCATCTTATCACAAATAACGGGGTTCCACAGGGGTCTATTCTAGGCCCATTACTTTTTATATAATATACATCCACCACATTATTAAAGTGAACACTTAACAAGCCTTTTGAAAGAATTGTTAGCACCTGCTGTCACTACTTGCACTATTATCACTTTAGTCACTGACACTTTCATACAGCTCGTCGGTGGTCCCTAACTGTGTTTGCCTCATGACCCCACTTTGACTCTGGTGACCCCAGACTTCCAAAACACATACAGCTTTTTGCTAAAAATGTGTTTGTTTTCAATCATGTCAAACTTTTTCTACTGTGCTGCAAGTAAACCTTTAATCTTATAGCACATTTGCTGCATGTCACCCCCCACTCTCTCCTCCCCACATGTCCTGTCCCTCTTTGGTTGTCCTGTCAGGTATAGGCAAAAATGGCTCTAAAAGAAACAGGACTTGTCCAAAACTAAACATTTCGATTGGCTCACTCATCTGGATTAAACCTGTTAAACAACCAGGCGCTGCATTTCATCGATGTGAATCAAGTCTATCCTGTGTAAATATCTCTCTGAGTCATGACTGTCTACAATGAGGGACAAGCTCGAGTCCCACTGGCTGTGTTGTTGTCAGAGCCGTGTTTACATGGACGGGATGGCCAGCTCCTCCCCTTGAGTATAAAAGCTGTTTTAGTCAAGAACTAGAGAGAAGAAGATCATACTCACTGATTATTTGGATGTCACGTAAGAGTTTTTAGATCTCTTTACATGCAGTGTGAAGCTACGAGCTAACGAAAGAGTGCTAACATTAGCACGCTAACATAACAATGCAGGACATGTAGGAGGTATTTGTTTTTACTTTTAATCTTGTTCAGTTTGGCGGCAGGCTGTGTTGTTTAATAAAGAAGCTTCTGAATACTTGTAAACTAAAGCCCTGTTCGGTTGAGGTTTTGTTTTGTTGTCGGATATTTAGGTCAGATGTTACATCATATAAACCCACCCCGTCCTCCTCTCGTCCACCTGTCTGCCTTTATTCTCAGTGAGACGCTGACTTCCTGACTTCCTGTTCCTGTCTGAAACAACAAAGACTGAAAGAACAGAAAACAGATCGACGCCGGCTGAAGTTGCTGAAGCCAGTTTCAACATCTGGGTCAAACTATCAGAGTTAAGAGGATCTGAACAGAAAACGAGTCGATGCCATCATTTAGTTTGTTCACACGTCTCCTCTAATTGGTTTGACTTAAATGCAGACGCACCAGTTGGATGAAAACACGTCATTAGTGCGAGGTAATAAGATATTAATTAAAGCTGTAAACTCAGACGTGTTTGTTTGAGCTGCTAATGTCTGACCAAATGTCCTGTCTACTAAAACACACACACACAGAGACACACACACACACAGACTCACAGACACACACACTCACAGACCCCTGACTGTGTTCCCATAGAGACCAGACAGACGCCGGAAACTTCCACAGGGACGCAAAAAAAATATTTGAAAGGACTCCTGCTGAACCGCGGTTAAGTCTGGACTACTGAAAACATCTACAGTGATGTGTGTGTGTGTGTGTGTGTGTGTGTGTGATGTTATGATAATGCGTTAGGAGGATTCACTTCAGTGTCTTTAGCGGTAGGTGTGGTTGGTAGGAGGAGAAGCAGGGTCAGTACTGATGACACACCTGAGGTGGCTCTGTCTCTGTAACCTTCATTAGCAGCACCTGCGGAGGAGCCGGCAGGAATTGGTTTTGAGTCGAAGAGACGCCACGAGGGAGACGTGAGGACGCAAGACACCTGAGAGACTGAATCTGACGTAACATTTGTTTTTGTTTTAACACTTCACAGGTTCTTTTTGCACATGAACTAAACTGGCTGGCGGAGGAGATCGTACCCAAGTGACTCCGTGGATCGAGTTGTCCAAGTGAGCTGGTCGCGGCACGTACGGGGATCTTGGAGGTGAGTCACCTACACGCACCCCTCAAACAGACAGGACAGTTGCACACACATTCAGGTAAGGTAGGATACACCTTCACGTTTACGCAACACGTAAGGAGAGGCATTAAGTTACAGGCTCACTGGCCTTAGAGTCAGGCGCAAGGATAGCATTTAGCGGTGGGTTTGTGTAGCGGCGAAACAGTGTGTATGTGTGTATGTGTGTGTGTGTGTGTGGTCGCCACATGCATCAGTAGGTGTGGTGTTCTCAGAGCTCCTGTCGTCACATTTGGGTCAGTTCTCTTTGTTTTGCGGAGTGTGTGTGTGCGTGTGTGTGTGTGCTTTGTGTGGTTTTGTGTCATGCAGGACTCACTGATCCTCTGTAACACTTCTTCACGTCTTCATAGGAGAGGTCGTCGATCAGCTGCAGTCTGCAGGACACAAAACAACAGAAAACATCACATCAATGTGACAGTACATCAGATCAGTTTCTGTCAGAAGAGACAGAAATGGACGGGCTCGGGTGTCTCTGCCTTTCTCGCTCCATGTCCTATTGTTTACTGTGAGAAGGCAGACTCAGAGGACAGAATAAACACATAGCTGTGGGAGTGTCACCCACCTGGGGGAGGGGTTACTGCCCTTTGTGATGTCATGAAGGGAAAATCTCCAAACGGCCTGTTTGAGCACACATTTTCTGAAAAGTGGAGCAGGCAGAAGACAGAGAGGATGGACTTTACTCATCATTGGGGGGTTTGTAGACAGACTAGAGACACATATTAGAGTTAGAGAAACATGATACATCAAAATCAAATACAGGATCAGAGTGGATTTAGAACAAGAAACTTCACACACATGTTTCGGGGAGCTCTGAGACTTTACACTGGTTGTTGAAGAGGAGGATATGTGACCTTTAATAAATCTAAAAGTAACATTGTGCAGAATTTCAGAATCGTACTGGAAACTTTAAAAGTGTCTTTTAGAAGATGTCTTTCGTTGGTGGATGTTTCAGGAGGATTCGAACTCTTTAGATGGACTGTTTGTTTGTTTGACATCTGCAGAGTTAATCACAAACACACTCCTCACTTTGACCTCCCCTCATGACACACTAATAATTCTGCGTGAAACAAAAACAGAAAACTCAACTTCTCTTTCAGCTGCGGTCGCTTCATCATGCAGGAGATTTTATCAGACCAGTTGTCAGCAGCCGCGCAGCGTTTAGAATTTAAATGTGACCTCAGATAACAGAGACACGGCCTGACAGTCTCTGACATGAAGCTGCTCACACACACACACACACACACACACACACACACACACACACACACACACACACACACACACACACACACACACACACACACACACACACACACAGGCCCCTGGCCAGTAGGGGGCCCCTGAGAGCTGACAAACTTAAACCACAGCAGTGGCTCAAAATGTGCAAATTTTGCAGTGACAGTAGGAAACCTCCCTTGCTCTGCTAAGCGTTATGCATAATCGCCGTTCTTCTTTGGTGACTTTTATTGAAAAACCTTGTCAGGGGAGTGAAAACAGAAAGACGAAGAGGAAGAGGAGTAAGTATCGGGACATAACGCTGATAAAGGCGTGAGGGAGGGGCCCCTAATGATATTAAGCCTGGGGTCCTAATGGAGTCCAGAATCACCACTGCATAAACACACACACACACACACACACACACACACACACACACACACACACACACACACACACACACACACACACACACACACACACACACACACACACACACACACGAACCTGTGACGGCAGCAGCTGATAACCAGTCACAACAAACCAGCTGCTTTACCGTCAGGGAGCATAAAAAACTGACAAAGATGGAGGATGACTTTAGTCAGGAGGAATCGTTCAGAAGCTAGCAACTGTATAAAGACGCAGAAAGATTGTGTATGCATAAGTTTTAATATTTCATGAATCCTATTTGACCCTTTGTTGTATGATCCGGTTTCTATTAAAGTTAAATGGATTTAATATAAGAAAAAAGAAACTGCATCCAACATGGAGACATGTTTCTTTTTTTGTTCCCAGTGTTTCTAAAATGCCACAACTCCCGAACACGATACCAAAAACACAACCTTTCAAAGTCCTGCCTGCTCGCTTCACAGAGCAACAACAAGAAGGTCATTACAGAGACCTAGTGCAGACGTACGGCGCCGAACACAGATAAATGTTTGGGGTCAGTTTGTTAGTTTGTGTAGAAAACATTAGCTCAGAGAGATTAATGAAGGCCGATTGTGTTTCCCTCTTCTGACATTTAATCCAGCGTCTCCAACAGCTACCAGGTCTTTACTTTGTTACTTTAACAAATCCTCAAAGCCTTGTTTTCACTGGACACACACATACACACATACACGCTCACATGCTCAAACACACACTCGTAAGATTTCCTGGAAGATTGGTCATGTAAATGAAGTCATGAAAAGGAAAAAACAAATGAGCACCAAGCTCATGCAAAAGAGAAACAACTTCAAACAGAGGACATGTTTCTTTGGAGGATTATTGAGGCTTAATGATCGACAATCTACAGAGTTATTCAAATTATTATTACTGCAATTATTTGGATTGGTTAAATGATGATGTAACCATGACGACGACGAGTGTAAACAACGTTAAAAAACTTGAACTGGAGAGTCAGCATAGTGTGCAATCAGCCACTGGTTTCAGACCGGTACACCGGAGCAGGGAGGACAGTTTGTGTGTGTGAAAGGAGTGATTGTACTGTCCACACACACACACACACACACACACACACACACACACACACACACACACACACACACACACACACACACACACACACACACACACACACACACACAAACAAAAGGAGTAATTATGCAAACATATTCGGGCTGAATGGGGAAACTGGAGCAGAGAGAGAGGCTGAATTCACACTGAGCAGAAAACAGTTTTAAGAAGTCTGAACGTTTTCACATCTTTTCCTTCAGGATGAATTTTTACACCACAACAATGCAGCAGCCAGTATGTCCTCCTTCTAACTTTAGATTCTGGTCCTGAATGCTCTGGATTTGTTTGGACCAGAGAAGGTATGCGGTTCTAAGGCACCCTCGGTTTGCCAGATATGAGACCAGTTATCAGGTCAAACCAACAGGTGTTGCAGAGATGGAAGCGGGCAAGAGAACTGGTTCAGATAGAAGTGATTGTACCCGACCTAAAAAGCCTCTGCATGTTTCTAATAAGCTCCACGAGCAGAAACGTGCTCAAACTAGATCAATATTGGAGATTTTGAAAAATGGAGAGAGGTTAGAACAGAAAGGTTTACAGACCGATGCAGAGCTGGCTAAACACTGAAGCTTCAGTGTCCAACACATGACAACCTGTGTGAACATCGACTCTAGAGAGGAGGGGGTGGGGGGGAGACAGCTCTCTACCATGTTTAGAATTTAGACTGCTGTACCCATTTTAAACACTAGGTGTCAGAGTTACATACTGCTCCTTTAAGTTTAAAATTCTGGTATCATGACAACTCTAGTTTGGATGCATGTCCCCCTCGGGCGCCCGTATAACCCGAAGTCACCTTAACTTAGAGAATATATATGTACTACAAAACTACTGCTCGCTGCTGACTAGTTAAAGAGGCGGGGGTCAGCCCCGACGGTAGTGACAACTTCAGCCCTGCAGTAGACCAATAAATCTCCCTGAGCTCCTGACTACATTCAGAAAGGTTTCACACTCTTTATTTAAAGCGATGAAGGAGATTTTAGGATGCCCCTGTTATGCTTCACAGTCGCTGTTTTTTTTTTTGATTTTCAAAGACAAGACAATACAATAACAGCTCAGTGCACTTTAGCAAAATATTTGCATAGTTGGTCCAGTAGTCACATTCAGCATCTACCAGTATAGTACACGTGATTAACAGTGATGTTGTACAATAGCAAGATAATCATTCAGGGATCATTATGATAAGTTGCACTTAACATTTAGAAGATTCAAAGGCTTCTCCAATTTCCTTTTAAAGAGATGAGTCTTTCCACCAATACAGTATCTTAACTTTTCTAACGTCACAACATCAGATATCAGCGATTTCCACAAGTGAACAGTAGGGGATTCATCCCCAACCCATTGTGTCATTATAGCCTTCCTAGCCAACATTAAAAGAAATTGGATCACGTCCTTATGTTCCTTCAAAATGTTCGGTAGACTTCCTAGGAGGCATAGAAGTGGGCCAGTAGGCAGTTGTTGTCCTATCACTGTGCCTATTTCTCCACATACTGCTTTCCAAAATAATTTAATTTTTTCACACTCCCAAAGACAACGCATTCTAGTTCCAGTATTAGCTTTGCATTTGGAACAAATTGGGGAAGCTCCTGTTGTGAACTTACTATAAACATATGGAGATATATAAACATTATGCAAGATATTGTATTGCATCTCCTTATATCTATTACAGATTGAAATCTTGGAGGGTAACATCAGAATTTCTTCCCATGTATCTTTATCTATAGCCACCTTCAGCAGAGCCGACCATGATGTTCTTAAGGAAGCAAGTTTATCCACATCTAAATTCTGTAGCTCAGAGTAAAACCTTGATACAAAATGTTCATTTTTTGTATGATCCAAGAAAAATCTTTCCAGCATATGCGAACCACTAAAGAAATTGAGGGTATTTACCTTCTTCAATACATAGTGCCTGACTTGTAGATATTTGTAAAAGTCCTTGGTAGGTATATTGTACTGATCTCTCAGAGAGTCAAACGTTTTGAAGACCCCACCCACCTTTTTCTTTAGGGAGTTGTAACTTCTCTAATTTTATTTTGGGTTTCCTTCCTGCCCCAAATGAAGTCTGATATTGCTTTATTAATATCTCTAATATCTTCTGTCCTTAAAATTCCAAAAAGCATAGATACAGGATAAATTATCTTAGGGAGAATAGTCATCTTAATGAGATTGATCCTACCAAGAAAGGAAATGGGCAGATTCCTCCATCTCATCATATTTTCTTTCAAGTGCTTAGTCAACGGGTAAATGTTTTCACTATACAGTCGATTGAGTTTTGGCGTGACTTTTATTCCCAGATAACTGAAACCATCAGGGGCCCAGCGAAATGGTCTAACAAAATCAGGTTCAACACGCCTATCGCTCACCAGGGGCATTATCTCAGATTTGTCAAAATTAACTTTGTATCCAGATATTAGTCCAAATTCTTTAACACATTCTATGACAGCAGGTACTGACACACTCAGGTCTGTTAAGGTCAACAGGACATCATCTGCATACAACATAATCTTGTTTTGCTTTGTACCGATTATTGTTCCTTTAATATTATTATTTTGTCGAATAGCTATTGCTAACGGCTCTATAGCCAGGGCAAACAGGAGCGGGGACAGAGGACTGCCTTGGGCTGTACCTCTTGACAACTTGAAAGGTGCTGAAATAAGATCGTTTGTCAGGACACAGTCGCTGTTTTGCATCCACCATTCTCAGCAGAGATAATAAAGATGCAAGATGACTCACTCCTCAGAAACTCAGCAACAGAAACCGATGTTATGTCCGCACGCAGCATGATGTGCATAATGCAACCAACTGATTATCCACGGTTACATTTGTCAGCAGCTAATTATGTCATCGGCTTTTGTTGACACCGTCGAGTAATCGTTGCATCCCTCTACTCAAGCCACATCACAGAACTGAGGATGACAAGAGAGGGATCCGTAGAAACGGAATCCTCTGTATTAAAAGTCTGTTTAATCAAACAGATTTTTTAATTTTAGTGAAAAACGCTGAATGATTTGAATCTGCTGTGTCCGTCACTGTGAGGCTGTTTGTGCAGTTTAAGGGGACATTAGCTCTCTGTCAGCAGAAGTGAATTAAGCCTTCACACCAGCTACACACACACGCACGCACGCACGCACACACACACACACACACACACACCTCCTTCCTATCAGCCCTCTCTGTCTCATTCTGAGCTCTGCTGCCTAGAAACGTGAGCTGACTACACGTGCTGGAGGCAAACACACACACACACGCACACACACACACACACACACACACACACACACACACACACACACACACACACACACACACACACACACACACACACACACACACACACACACACACACACACACACACACACACACACACACTGGCCCTGATTCTGCAGCTTGTTTTGTACGTGACAGGAATAACAGAGCAGTGAGACTCATACAGAGGCTTTCCCTCTCTGTGTATTGTCTGTCCCGCACGTCTCCTCCACTTTCATCTGGTGCACACACACACACACACACACACACACACACACACACACACACACACACACACACACACACACACACACACACACACACACACACACACACACACTCTGTCAGGACTAATGAGGGAGTTGGTTGCTGGTAATGAGGATGAGTTGAATCCTCCACATCATGTCTGTTCTCATTCTCTCTTTGCATCTCGTGTTGAAACTGTGCGTCCTGCAGGTCGACTCAGCGTTTGTGTCTAAAACATCTGGACGCTTCTGAACTCCAGCTGTGACTCATCCTGCAGGTGTTAAAGGTTTCTGCAAAGACTGCAGTTCCTCCAGTGTGCATGTTATGATAATGCGTTAGGAGGATTCACTTCAGTGTCTTTAGCAGTAGGTGTGGTTAGTAGGAGGAGAAGCAGGGTCAGTACTGATGACACACCTGAGGGGGGTGTGGTGGCTCTGTCTCTGTAACCTTCATTAGCAGCACCTGCGGAGGAGAGGGAGGACGCGAGGACGCAAGACACCTGAGAGACTGAATCTGAAGTAACGTTTGTTTTTGTGCACATAAATCTAAACTGATATGAAAGAGAGGGCTGGCGGAGGAGATCACACCCAAGTGACTACGTGGATCGAGTTGTCCGAGTGTGCTGGTCACGGCACGTATGAGGATCTTGGCAGTGAGTCACCCACACGCAGCCCTCAAACAGACAGGACAGTTGCACACACATTCAGGTAAGGCAGGATACACCTTCACGTTTTTGCAACACGTAAGGAGAGGCATTAAGTTACAGGCTCACTGGCCTTAGAGTCAGGCTCAAGGATAGCATTTAGCTGTGAGTTTGTGTAACAGTCCACTAGAGTCTGTCTCCTGCAGTGAGTCAGTCCCCATAGAGCCCCATGTTAAAATGTACAACTTTACAGCTGCAGTTCCTCCAGTGTCCACTAGAGTCTGTCTCCTGCAGTGAGTCAGCCCCGTTTTAAATCCAGCCTTTGAATAAATCATCTTTTTTCTCTTACTTTGGCAGGCTGTGTGTGTATTATAACCGCAGTCACTCACCTGAAGGGTAGGGGGCAGTGTCCATCCTCCTCCCTGGGGGGCTCAACCTCATGGGGGGGCAGGACGCTGACATCATCACTCTGCTCCAGATTCTCCGACATCATCTTCATCGGCCTGGATGACGAGAGGAAATTAAGACTTTCAGAATAAAAGGTGGAGGAGGAGGAAGTGGAGGAGGATGTGGATGAGCAGGAGGAATTGAGACTTTCAGAATAAAATGCATCACAGTGTTTCATTAACACTTTCTGAAGACTGGGAATTATGAGGAGGAGGAGGAGGAGGGTAGATAATTAACACAAATATCACTCCTAATATTATAATCTTTACTTCTGCAGGCCTCACATTGTTTGACCACCATTATATCGTTTATAAAACTGACAATCAGTGAGTCGCCATCCGTCCGTCTGACTCCCTGTGAACGCAGCACAGATCTGATCTATTCAGTTCTACGTCCTCGCTGCCGGTCAGTGATGTGGATCTGGGGTTCTAGATACCACGACGAGAGTTCGCCCTCACCGTCCTCTTCGTTCTTCTTCTCGTTCTGCATTCTCTCAGCGTGATGTCAGAGGGCATGGATGACCGAGAGCTCCGATTGGCTGCCGTGACAACGCTCCTATCTACATGTGCCAAACGCCACACATGGCAGCCAGGATATTCTCCCCCTCTGTTTCCATGGTAACGGCACCAAAAAGAAAAGGAAAAAAGGCTGCTCAGATGAAGTGTTGGGCTCTTTTTCTGTCGACTGCCAGCCCTCCTCTGTACATGATGTGTTTCTATTTATTTATTTTTATGTATTTTATGATTGGATGGAAGGTGTTGCAGCACGGCCATGTTGTTTTTAACCTGCAGGACCATATGTCCCTCTTCATTTCTCCCCTCCTCCTCTTTGTGTTTGTGTAAAAAGCTGTTTTAAATTTTTTTTTTTTTTTGCTCTGAGTCGTCCGTGTGCTCCGAGGGGAAATCACAAACAAATATCTCAAACCGAAGGTGAGGAGCTGAAGAGAGTACAGTTACTGAACACTCAGACAGCTGAGAGGAAGAAGAAATAATTTAGTATTCAAAGTGACTCAAAGCCTGAAAGATTAAGGAGAGCCCTTTGATCTGGACTCATTTTCTCCCGTTAGCTCAAGATAAAAACAACGTTTTCAGCCCTATTCTCGAGATCTGGAGAAATAAACTTGGCATCAGGGGAAAAATAAATTCGTAATCCTGCTATAACGAGACGAATAAATCGAGATTTGGATGAAAACTCAAATTGAAAACATTGGAGAGACCTGTCCCCCCCCCCCCTCTGCTCGATGTTCACGCAGGTTGCCATGTGGTGGTCACTGAAGCTTCAGTGTTTAGCCAGCTCTGCATCGGTCTGTAAACCTTTCTGCGTTCTAACCTCTCTCCATTTTTCAAAAGCATCTCCAATATTTTTTTTTTTTTAAGATTTATTTTGGGCTTTTTGTGCCTTTAATGCAGAGAGAGGACAGTGGATAGAATTGGAAACCAGGGAGAGAGAGCGGGGAATGACGGATGTGGAAAGGGGCCACGGGTGGAGGCGAACCCGGGCCTACCGCTCGAGACAAGAGTCTCAATACATGGGACGTGCACCCTAACCATTGCGCCATCAGCGCGCCCCAGCATCTCCAATATTGATCCTGGTTTGAGCACGTTTCTGCTCGTGGAGCTTATTAGAAACATGCAGAGGCTTTTTAGGTCGGGTACAATCACTTCTATCTGAACCAGTTCTCTTGCCCGCTTCCATCACTGCAACACCTGTTGGTTTGATCTGATAACTGATCTCCTATCTGGCAATACGAGGGGCGTCCAAAACGGCCGTGTGGGGGTTCCTTAAAACCGCCTACCTTCTCTGGTCCAAACAAATCCAGAGCATTCAGGACCAGAATCTAAAGTTAGAAGGAGGACATACTGGCTGCTGCATTGTTGTCAGAGAAGCCAGCACTTCAACATAGCATGTTTCCTTAATGTCTGATCATATAGTAAGCTCACTTTATCATTTCAGTCTCTGCACATCTTAGTGGATGATCCTTTATGCTTTTCTAAACTGTGACATGAAGTGAATCGACTCCTGCAGCAGAGAGAGAGAGAGTATGTTCAGTATTTCAGTTTGCATGTTTTTACACAACATGAAGAATCATCTGCTGTGATGAGGCGATCAGCTCGGATTCTTCTTCCTGGAGAATCACACACCTTTTTCTTTGTATCAGCGACAAGCTGCAGGCTCATTTCACGCTTCATAACAGGAACTGAAGCTCAGGCGTGTGAAAAACGACCTTGTTTGTGCACACGAGGACAGACGGGCTCAGCGTGTGTGTGTGTGTGTGTGTGTGTGTGTGTGTGTGTGTGTGTGTGTGTGTGTGTGTGTGTGTGTGTGTGTGTGTGTGTGTGTGTGTGTGTGTGTGTGTGTGTGTGTGTGACTCTAAACAAATCAGATGGTTTCTCATGAAGAACATAAACTCACCACCATGTGTGTATTAATGAGCCTTTAAAACATCAAACATTTATCTCTGAACAGGAGGAGATCCGAGGCTGTCGGGGTATTTCTGCCAAGGTGGAAGTGAAGCACAGTTGCCATGGCGACAGGCATGATCCTTCCTCCTCTAGCTGACAGCAGGTAGCTCTCCTCCTCCTCATGGCTCTCATGGAGACGTGTCGGTTCCCTCTCGGAGGAGACTCTGCCTGCTGATTAAATCAGGAGGCTCCTCGGGGAGACTCGGCTGTTTGCTGTGATGTTAACACTTTACATCTGTGTGTGTGTGTGTGTGTGTGTGTGTGTGTGTGTGTGTGTGTGTTTGTGTGTGCGTGTGTGTGTGTTTAGACTCCTTGCCGACACACATCAGCTCGTTTAACTCAGAACACTGATCAGTAAAATGACGCTGGAAGTCGTCAGACAGAGTGATAGAAAATGCCTCGTCTTGCTGCTCCAACCTTCAGAATGTGTTCAGAGTGATGACGCTTTGATCAGCGGAGGTGGAGCATGCGTCAGCTCAGTTTGTGGAGCACAAGCCCAATGTGTGGAGGATGAGTGGAGGCCATATAGTCTTCAATACAGCCGCCTTGGGCTAGATTCTCTCCACCATTTTCTGCACGTACTCCTGACGCTCTCCTCTGATTGTTTCCTGTCTCCCCTAAGGTGTCCTATCACAATAAATGCTCCATGGTGCGGTGGTTAGCGCTGTCACGTCACAGAAAGCTTCCTCCCACAGTCCAAAGACATGCTCGTTCTGTTAATCGCTGGCTCTAAGTTTCCCGTCTTTGTGAATGTGAGTGTTTGAATCTTAGCTGTGTCCCAGTTCAGGATCTGCATTCTTCGGAGGTCACACCGGCGTTAACGCCACAGCACGATGTCAGAGGCTCTCCCGTTTCAAAGGCTCCTTCAAATGTGTCCCTTCTGTCCCTGCAGAGGTGCAACATTCAAGGTTGTAAAAAAAAGTCCATCCTCTCCGTCTGTTTCCTGCTCCACTTTTTAGAAAATGTGTGCTCAAACAGGCCGTTTGGAGATTTTCCCTTCATAACATCACAAAGGGCAGTAAACCCTCCCCCAGGTGGGTGACACTCCCACAGCTAGGTGTTTGTTCTGCCCTCTGAGTCTGCCTTCTCACCGTAAACAATAGGACATGGAGCGAGAAATCCATATACTGGTTGAAGAGGAGAATATGTCAACTTTAGCAAGCTTTATACAAGCAAACAACCAATCAACACAAATGTAGGTCTCTATCTCTCTCTCCCTCTCTCTCTTTAACAGGATGTGATATTTGACGTTCTGGTGGTCGGCGTGGTTTTCTGGAGGTGAAACCAGTCGATTAGCCTTTTTCCTGACGGTCAGACTGTTTCCACCGCAGCAACATCCTCCCCCATGAGATTCATGCAAATCATAAGTAAACGAGATGATCAGAGAACATGAGGCCTCGTGTTTCAGGAGAGAAGAAACGATTAAACACAAAGAGACGAGGAAAGAAAGTCATTTAATACACATCAATAAGATTAGACTAAAGAAGCTTGATTTGAGTTTATGATGCTTTATACTTTTATTTAAAGATGTTTACAACACTTTTACTTCAAATGTTGCTGATTAGTCTGGATATTTAAATCGGAGAGCATTGCACACATCAGGAGAATCTTAACAGATCTTCTTCTCTATAATCTCGAGCATGCTCACTCTACAACGACACTAATGGCCGTCACGTCGTTATAAAGGTTCAGAGCAGGAGGGAAGATTTGAACTGTCAGATGCATTTCAGGTGTCCAGCACACCCGTGCAGGAAGTCAAAGTGACATCACCCGTCTGTTCCTGCAGGGGGCACTGGAGTCCCATCAATGGCGGTCTCCAGGCTGGAAATGCTGTCTCAGTCTAACTTTCAGTCAACCTAACGACAGGCTGAGAGCTGGAGCTGAGGCGGGTTTTAAGACTCCTGACAAACCGTTACACCGCGTCCACCTGTCAATCAGGTCAGCTACACGCCTTATTGTGAATAACTCTTATCCTTCATCAAATCAAAACTGATGAGTCATCAAAACATTCACCCCCCCGTACAGTGTGTGCCGATCGAGACATGAACCAGGCTGTAAACATGTTAATCTCTGCTGTAAAAACAGGCTTTTTAGAATGGGTGTGTATGTGACTTCCTGTGCTTCTGCAGCCAGCCTCTAGTGGACACTCGGGGAACTGCAGGTTTTAACACCTAAGGTTGCCGGTTGTTATGTATTGCCGGCGGTCGCCATCACTACTGTCCTCCCTCGTCTCTCGTGGTCACTGTAGTCACACACGACTTCCTCCAGACTCTTAAACGACGTTATCTGCAAGATTTTAAATCCTAAATATCAAACATGTTTGATTTAAATCGAGGCGGCCCTGAAGCTCTCTGAGCAGATCGGGGAGGTTCAGATTGGATCTACTCACACTACAAAATAATCCGGGAAGAGGATCAGAGCTGAGCAGCCTCGAGTCGGGAACCCTTACTCTTCATCTTTCTACACTCTCCGTCATAGAAAATGTGCAGACACATCAAAAAAACAGCGTGTAGGTCCATCTTTAAAAACATCTCAGTGAGATTTGAGCATCAGTACTGAAGACACAAAGATTTAAAAACACGCTCTGATAACAGTTTAAAAAGCTACAGCAGATAAAGACCTCGTGCTCTGAATGATTCTAGAGACGTTACAGGATGAAAAGTTTTTAACCAGAGTCCTAAACAGGGTGACAGTTTGTTAAAACCTCTGATAACTGAGCAGGACTCAGTGTGTGTGTGTTCTGGGAGGACGACGACTTACAGCTCGGCTCTCAAAGAGGTGTTTTGTTCGGCGGCTCCGGACCACCCTGTGATGGGGACGACAGCGAGGTCAAGCCAAAACAAGAGGTGATTCTGGGTATTCAGAGCTGCTGGAACAGACGGAGGCCACACAGACGCAGCGCCGACAGAAGAGTCTCGTTTGAAACAGAGAGAGCAGATTCTTAACCTCGACTCAGGACGAGTTTTACTTTGACTCGAGTTCTGAACTGAAACTGAGTCTTTCTCTTCTCAGACTCTCTACCTGCCTCCCTACGTCTCTGATCGACTTTGAGGGTCGGTCTGCTGTTTTCAAACCTTGGTCCTTTATTAACATCTCTTTGGAGTCTAAACTTCTAACAGGTTAAAAAAAAAGTCTTCAGCCTGCAGCAGTGAAACAGGCCGTAATGGCTGCAGTATTATCCTCAAATAATCAAAGTATGTCCAGTAAAATCAGCGATCATGGTTCGATCTAATCATGGTGTTTCCTCTTGTGAGGCTTTCCTTCCTGTTACAGCTCAGACAGGGTCATCGTGCAGGCTGCAGGGTTTTGCCCCTTCAATCCTTGAACATCTCGAGGCGGTGGATCAGTGACAGGGACGTCTTCCACTCCAAAATACTTGTTTAATTGAATTATTTTATCTTTTCACAAAATCTGCAACTTCCGGTGTCTGACAGTCGACCTGTTACTGTAAGCGTCTGTTTTATTTTGTATTAGACATAATGAGACTTTGTCTTTAGAGCCTGACTGATTAATCGACCAGCCGATAATTTCAGCCGATATCAGCATATCCAGTCCATATCAGTATCAGCTGATTTTATGGCAGATATCTGTTGATATTACAGATTTATTCACCAGTCAAACAGCATTTCATTTGAGTTTCATCGTATTACACTACCAGTGTATCACCAGCAGAGGGCGCTATATGGACCGACCAAGTATATTTTATGGTCGCCCAAGTGAAAATGGGGGAGAGAGAGAGCGTGCGAGAGACTATAGGCGCATGCAATAACCTCACTGAGCGCACAGAGAGAGAGAGAGAGAGAGAGAGAGAGAGAGAGAGAGAGAGAGAGAGAGAGAGAGAAGGTCCACTGTCCCTACATCCCTACACAGGTATCATTCTGTGGGACCATCTTGTCTTCATTATAAATCCACAAACATTTGATAACTGCATTTGTGGCGTCAACACAATAAATGTGTATATTTATATTCATCTCTACAGATTGAAGATAAAAATAATAAAGATATCGGCATCAGATTTTGTGTAATCCCTAATATCGGTATATTATATTATATAATCTCCATTATATCGGTCCCAAAACTCCCACATCGGTCGGGCTCTTATTGTCATGTGGGTTATTGGACTCCTGATCCTGAACTGGAAACAAACGGACTGAAGACTCCCAGGACAAAGACCCGCAGAAATTTGTTTGTTGCATCGAACACGCGTCCTGAAATAGCTCCACTACTCACACCTCAACGTGACCGCTTTGGACAGTATTGGGTTTGTTCTAAGAGTCGGCCATCATATACTCTTTATTAAAAACCATCTAGCTCTATCTGTGAGGCTGCAGTATTACATCATCAACACTCATCATCAGGTTTACTCCTCACCTCTGTCTCCTATTGTATATATTATTTTAATAGTTTAATATAATTAGTTTAGTTAAATTTCCTGTGCAGAATAAAAATGATCACATGAAGCAAAACCTGCTGCGCGCACTGCAACACGTTTATACTACAGCAGCAATATAAACCAGTCCTCCCAGTATAGTATTGATGCTACTATACTACACTTGATGCGGTCAATACATGCTGAGATGGCACGTGCTCATCCTACAGTATGTCACACCTGCAGTGCTCCAGGTGTGGAGCAGCTTATAAACATTTAAATAACAGGAGCATGTAAACGCACCATCTGAGACACCACCGCAGCATCACTGATGACATCAGCAGCGGGCCCTCCTTACACACATTTACAGGTTCACACACACACACACACACACACACACACACACACACACACTCTGTTTTACCTGTGTGTCGAACAAGTCTTCTCTCAAGTCCGCGGAACACCCGGGGTCCCCTTGCGTCCGGTTCGACCCTCCGTTAGTCCGCACGAGACCTCCGACACTCCGAGCGGAGCTGAGGCTGCAGCGAGTCAACTGGACCAGCTGCGTCAAGTCCGCACTGTTTAATACACCCTGTACCGGAAGTGACCGGAAGAGGCTTTCAGAATAAAAGCACGGGGAGTTTTATTAATATATATCGATAAAAGACACGAGAGTACGATGATATATTAAGGACTTTAGAAGAAAAAAAAGCCAAAAATTGTTTTTTTGCCCCGGTTACGGCCGCAACTTTCGTTGTTACGTGCTAATTCGGGAGCACGCCCCCTAAACACAGGATGATGATTTTTCAGAGATATTTATGATCCTTGGTCTTTGTCCCTGTCTGACCTGGCTGGTCTTGGTCTTTTCTCGGAGCTCTCTGGTCTCAGGTATGGTTTGGTCTCGGTTAGTGTGACCTTGACTACACTAGAAACACCAGCTGTTCAAGCAAATAGGAAGATTTAAATAATATTCTTTACTACAGTGGCGACCTGAAGGATGTCCTGAGAATATGAGAGACTTCGAGCGGAAGAAGGAGAAACTTCTCCCTCTGTTTATGACCTTTTTAAAAAGAGGAAGCCCTCATTCTGCTGTGAAACCTCCTGATTGCTCAGAAGCAGCGGTGAGATGAGTGGAGTCATTGTGGTGAAGCTTGTTGTGTAACGTTGGCACCATCGTGGAGACCGTTAGGGGTCGCGCGCGCGCGCGTGTGTGTGTGTGTGTGTGTGTGTGTGTGTGTGTGTGTGTGTGTGTGTGTGTGTGTGTGTGTGTGTGTGTGTGTGTGTGTCGGCGCTGTCACTACCTGGAGCTCGCATCAACACAGCCCGGGTCTGTTGAAGGTGTGAAGGTGGAGAGACCCCGATAAATAACCCCGGCCCGGGCTGCCCAGGTGCATGAAACAAATAAACTGGCTCCGCCCCTCTTTACCTGAAGGTAGAGGAGAGACGGTCAGGGTCGTCACAATAGCTCGCTGCTTGTCAACAGGCAAGGCAGCGACCAGCAGGGGGGCCCTGAAGCAGCGGCCAAAAAAGTGACATCTGACAGCACCTCGTTCCCCTGCTGAACCTTGGTTGGTTGATATTTGCCTATAGGGCCCGACAGACTCTCGAATCGCATACTGTCACCTGTACACTAAATCTGATTGGCCGTCCTTGAAGGTGCGCAGGTAGGATAGGACAGGATAATAATTTATTGATCCCCAGAGAGGAAATTCGGGCGTTGCAGCAGCACAGATAAGTAAGCTCAGGTATGAACATCTGCTGAGTTGAATTTATGAAGCTCTTCTTGGTTTAGATTTTTCTTATTTATGTTCAGACCTCCAAAGAACCAGGAGCCTCAAAGCCTTCTGCTCCTGTGATGTTTTTAAACCGTTTGATCCTCGAGTCCGCGGCGAGCTCCGGGAGAAGAGCATTTAGTTATGCTGCCCCCTGCAGGACACAGAATGATTTGCAACTAGAGTGCGTATGTGATCCAATCGTATATCGTGTATCAGGTCACATAATGACGTAATTTATGGATATCGGACTGAAGGCGCCGATTGAAACAGCAGATCTCATTTCACTTTAAGACTTTCACTCGATGTTAAAAGAAAAACAACGCTACGACACCATCTGACAGTTTCTGAATTATAATCTGTGACCACGACTCTGCAGGTTTTCTGTGAACCAGCAGGCTCGTGCATGTTCGGGGACATTTGCATTCAGAAACGCCTCCACTAAAGCATTTAAGGTAACAACACACCTCTTTAAAAACCACGTGAACATATTTACCTCGGCGGAATAATACGAGAGCAAAGAAAATAAGCTTTATAACAGAAATGGTAGTGGATGAGGTTGAATAAAAAACGGTAATAAATAAATAGATGAATGAATAAAATAAGGTTAGTAACTCTCGCGCTGTGATCCAATGAAATTTTTAAGTCTTTTCACTTAGTCGAAGTTACTCACAAAAAAACAAATGCTGCATGAGAGAAGGTGACAGGTCAGAGGAGAAAAGACTAAGATGAAGTTTGAGATTAAGCTCAGTGCAAAAAATAAAACGCATCGCGGCACAAAAGCGAGAAGCATTTGCAGCTGGAAGATAACAGAATAATCCACAATTTCACACAAGAACGGTGCATTTACAGCGTCATCGGGGGCACAGCTCTCTCTGGGGGAAAAAAATCAAAACAGTGACGCGCTCACAAGAGAACAAGCTGGACCAAACAGATCAGTGCGCTCTTTTGAAAAGCCCTTACTGCGGAGCGCACAGTTCGCCAACTCATCTAATAAGGCAAAACGAGCCATGATGTAACATTTCAAACGCCTGTCCCAGCGGGTTTGGAACAAATTTAGGCAACACGTCTGTATCAAACTTGACAAATCACTTTTTTGGGGGTTTTTAATTAAAGAAAACTCAGAACATGCATCCATGTTGAGATTGATTCTGGCGTGCTGTGTCACTCGTAGTGCTTTTTATTTGTAGTTTCAATGTTCTAACACTAGATTCTGTGAGTAAGCATGGTCAGAGCTGTGCTTATATTTACACACATTTCTAAGTATAAGTACAAGTTGATAAATCCCACTATTTGCGTGGGAATGTTCTTACGCACTGTTGATAAATGAGCCCCAGACCTGTTGGGGGTTCAGTAGCTACCTCGCTAAAGGAAACCTCAACAGTGACCTGTCACCTCCCCAGCTAACAGACCAATTTCAAGATTTAGGTCCGTACCTGGACTTGAACCGGTGACCCCCGCCTGGTTCCCAACCTCAAGTCCAAGTGTACACACTCTGGATTCATTTGTTAATTTTAAATCTTCCTTAATTTGAGACTTAGAAGTAACGTAAAGCTGAGTTCTGGATGTAACTTTTTCTTTCTACTTCTTTTATATCATCAGGGTTTGTCTACTTTGTATTTCTTCTGTGGTTTTATTTGCTGTGATAACCATCAGCCTGTCTGACTGGAGACACAGAAGTGACATCAAAATATTCAAATCAATCTTCATCTGATTCTGCAGATTTTTATATATTTTATACATGTTTATACATTCTTTTGGTTTTTAAGGGTTACTGTGTTAAAAGGTTGAAGAGCTTTGGCGCCGCCTGGTGGATGTTTCAAGAACTCAGTCACCAAAAGATGAAAAAAAAAAAAAATATGAAAAACTCAGCTTCCTCTTAGACGAACACATCTGTCAACTCCAGATACTTTCAATATTCAGATTAATACAAAACTAAATCCATTTATGAACTATGACGAGGATTAAATTAAACTTTACATTTTGTTAATTTATCAGCTGCAACATTAAAGTTATGTTCATTAAATATTATACATCAATGATACTAAACATATTAATCTGCATCTTCTCAGCGCACAAACGCTTCATGAAAGCGCCCGGAGTGCACAGCCAGCGTTTTCTGCTCTGAAGAAACACCAGGTGGACACAGGGCCTAAGCCTCTAACAGCGACTTGTAGCTCGTCTGTTGAGCCCCTAAAACAAAGGTTAACGTTCAACAGGAAGTGGTTGAAGATATAGAGAGCGAACGCGAGCTAAGAGTAAATTAAATCAGTTGTTTTGAGAGACGGTCTGATGTTCGTCGAGTTAGATGACAAAGTCTCAGATTTAAATCCTGGAAGAGAGCTCATCATCAGCAATCGTCAAATGAGCACGCAGAGGTCGGGCGCCATTCCACCAGCTACAGGTTTAATATCAGATCAACAACAGTAGAAAAACAGAGGCAGAGGCTACCAGACAAAAACAAGAGTAGGAAATCCAACAGCATCCAACAGGCTCTTTAAAATAATTCCTCTGTACAGTATTTACACACACACACACACACGCACACACAGAGTACAGTACAGCTACACACTGAGGAGGAGGAGTCTGAGGACGCCGCATCAGTCCAAACGCTGCCCTCTGATTGGTCCGTCCTCCTCCCTCCACAGTATTTGTGACTTCCTGTGAAGCTGAGGGACTTCCAGGTCAAAGAGTGACGATGTCCACCGGGGTCAGAGACATCATAGGTCACTGTGGGCGGAGTCTTTGAGATGATGTCACAGCTCCCACACCGCCTGGGACTGTCCAACCCCGCTGCCGCTGCTCCTTCCGCATCCAAAACAACCGAGAAGCGGCATCTCATCGTGTCCCCGCCCACCAGGTCCTCTCTGCCGTCAGTCTGTGAGCACACACCTTTCTCTGCCCGCCCAACTGAGCACCATGGTCCACACCTGGATCATCAGAACCAGTGGAACCAGTAGGACCAGTAGACTGAGAGCCTTTAATCCTCCCGAGGTCTCAGCGGGTCCAGCGAGGGGGCGAAGCAGCCGGCCGGACGTCCAGGCAGAGAAATCAAACGTACACAAACACCATTGAACTGATGCTCAAACAGAAACGCTTCCTCATGTGATCCAGTCACATGACTCCGGAAGGCTGGAGGCCGACCAATCAGGTGTGCCTGCAGAGAGAGGAGAGGACGTGATTGGTCAGGAGGATCAGTTTAGAATCAACAAAGCTTCTCCTAGGGTTGTCACATGACACTTTGATCACACTTGATGATTCTGGTAAAAATCAAACCATATGTATACCCGTTTCGTTACCACGGCAACAAATATACACATCATAGCAACCCAACATAATGGAACTCCTGCACACTGTCCAAACGTTTCTGCACCGTGAGCTTCTCTGCAGGAAACGGGAGCGGCTCTCACTTTTGACCTCAGAGGTTGATTTCACCTTTGACCTCAGAGAGTGCGAGTTTCATCACGCTGCAGTTTCAAACACTGATATAAATTTAAACATTTCCATCGAGATTTCTTTATTTACTTCATTAAAAGAATGGCAGTTCTGAGGTGTGACCACCAGGTGGTGCTGCAGACTGAGACAGTGAGGATGGATTCTCTGCAGTAGACAGAAGAAGACTGTCACTGCTTCAGACGTTGTGTTTGTGTCCGAGGTAAGAAGATCGAGAATAAAGAATACAATGTGATGAAAAGGTGCGTTTGTCTTACCGTTCTCACCTCCGTGCGGGCGGGTACATGGACGGGGCGGACACCTGCTGACTGGCGACGATGGCTGAGGAGGAGAGACCTGAGAATCACAGAGAGAGAGAGAGAGAGAGAGAGAGAGAGAGAAACTGGCCTCTTTAGATCCAACATGGCTTGAGATGGGGTTTAAAAAGAATTAATAAATAAACTTGATGACTTCCTGAAGTAAACAAAGACTTGTCGACTCCTGATCGGCTGCGGCTGCTCCAAAGACTCTTTACAGTTTCTAAACGGACAGACGAGTGTCTCACCTGAGGCGTAGGACAGTTCGTACTGTCCCGACAGCAGCGGGTACCCCAGGTGATGATGGGAGGGCATGATTCTTTGTGAGGGGGACGAGCGCGGCCGGTCGCCCTCTCTCTCCCTGTCTCTCTCTCGCTCCCTATCGCGGTCCCGCTCTCTCTCGCGCTCGTGGGGGGGTTTGGATTCAGAGATGGACGGGGATTTGCTCTTGTACTGGCTGGCGTGCTGCTGCAGCAGGTCCAGAGCTTTGGCCTCACCCGGCGGCTTCACGTTGGGACTGGACCTGGAGGCCTTCTCCCCCTCCTCCCCCGCCACCTTCCCTCCGTACGAGGGGAAGGAGTAACCCGGAGGCAGGTACGATCCTGAGGACAGAGAAGAGAATGAACCTCTGTCTGTCTCACTCTTAAAAATACTTTTATATAGGCATAAACAAAGAAAAGGACGTTAAACTTCTGCTACATGAACAAGACATGACAGACATGCTAAAAGTTTCCCCTTGATTCCAGTCTTTATGCTAAGCTAAGCTAACTGTTTCCTGATTCCAGGTTAGATGTTTGGTTTCAGCCAATTTCACTGAACCCTGAAATAGTCCCAGATTGCTCTTGTTTGTTTGTTTGTTTGTTTGTTTGTTTGTTTGTTTGTATGTTGCTCCCTGGGTTATCTCTGGTAAAACAAAAGCTTGTTACACCTCCCCCTCCTCCCCCCCCTTCTCCTTACCGGGGTAGTTCTGCATCATGACCGAGGGCATGCCTCTGTATCCAGGGTGGGCGGGCTCGTAGCCGTGGCTGTAGGGGTACTGTCCGTGCAAGTAGGGCATGTAGCCCTGGTGCTGGGCCAGGGGCGAGGAGAACTGCATGTGGGGGGGCCGCACCTCCTTCCCTCCCCCTCTGTGCTCCTCTGGAGGCATCTGAGTCCTGCACTCCACCCCCTCCTTCACCTCCTCTTTCACCATGACCTCCTTTGGCCGCGGCCTCTCCTCCTTCCCCTTCCTGTCGCGCTCCCTCTCCCTCTCTCTCTCCCTCTCTCTCTCCCTTTCCCGCTCCTCCTTCCAGCGCTCCTCCTCCTGGGGTTTAGGAGCTTCAGAGTATTTGTTCGGGTAGACGTACGGCCACAAGCGAGAGTCCGGCTCCTGAAGAATGAGAGAAAAGGATGCGAGTGAGGAGAGAAGGCGGAGTTTGTATCCGAAGAGGAGCTCTTTAAATAAAAACTACTAAGAGGCGTGTTGCGCCACCTGGTCTGCAGATTTTAGAGTCTGAACCAGGTACACTACAGTGGATCTTATCATCCTCATGCATCCTTCAACAATAAAAACTCCAGCATGTTTCAACTAAGAGCTTTTTCAAAAATGTATTTAAACTGTTTTGTTTCTGGTTACGTTTCGACATAGCAGAAGATAAATATTCAGCTGTATGAAGCGATCATTGTGTGTATACGTGCAGTTACCTGTCTGTACCACATGGCGGGCTCTGCACCTGCCGATCGACCTGACTCCGCCCCCGGCTTGGTCTCCTCTTTCCCATGATGCCCTGCTTCACTCAGCTTCATCTTCAAGCCCTCTGGCTGGGCGGCGGGGGCTTTGGGCTCCTCCCCCTTCACCATGATGACGGACTTTGTTTGTTCTGAGGAAGGCAGGGGCTCTTTGGACTTCGTTGGGTTCAGCCCCCCCTTAGAGGCGAGGTCAGTGAGGCTGGGGGCTCGGGACAAGGTGGGGGGAACAGATGCTTTCTGCTTCCACTCGTCCTTCCCACTTGCCTCCCGCTCTTTGCCCTCCGCCTTCTTGTCAGCCTGTCGTTGGCGCTCCTCGTACTGCTGGCGGTAGGCGGGGTTTGAGGCGAGCAGGTGGGCGTGATAGGCCTGGTCTGGGGAGTATGAGTAGGGGGGGACGTAGTACTGGTTGTAGTACATGGGCTGGGTGTACATGTTGGACCGCTGCTGGATGACTGACGGCTGCTGAGGCCCCGGATCAATCTTCCTCTCCTCCTGAGGCTCCACCTTAAGTTTTGGCTCCTCCCCCACATCTGAGTCCTCCTCCTTCTTCACCTTCACCTGAGCCCCCTCAACGTGAGGCGTGGCTGCGGATGGTGCCCCCGGGCTGGGGTTGGGGTAGTTGGGGGAGTAGTACGAGTCGTAGTTTGGGTAGTAGGGCGAGTCTTTGCTTGGGGCCTGAGGGGGGAACAGCGCCTTCTTGGCCCCCTCACGAGGCCCCTGATCAGGCTCTGTCTTCACCTTCACGCCTTCTGCCCTCCCCTCGCCGTCCTCACCTGCGTCTGAGATGTCGGAGTAAGCAGGACTGCTGGTTTTCACAGATGCGTTGTCCGCTCCATTTTGGTTGAGTTGGAGGGGGGGCCCGAGGCCGGGCTCGATCCTGCTGCCACTCCCAATGGAGGGGCTGGGGGCGTTGTCGGTGAAGCTGTACACTTTGTCGGCCTCGGCCTTGATGCTGGCGAGCCGGCTCTGATGAGCTTCTGAGGAGCCGTTCAGCATTGAATCCGCATCGGAGTACGGGCTCCTGCCCTCCTCCGGCCTACCCCCCTTACCTGCTGCTTTCGGACTGTCCCCCTCCCTCCCCCCCTCCCTCTTCTTCTTGTCCTTCTTCTTCTTGTCCTTGGTGAGGGTGGGGCTGGAGGCGGGGTCAGCCAGCGGTGGGGGTTTGGGTTGGTTGTTTTTCATCTGGGGGCTCTTGGGGACAGACTGTACCACTGAGCCCAGAGCGGGGGAGGATGCCTGCATGGCGTAGGGCGAGGGGGCTCCGGGGGCAACAGGGCGAGTCGGCTTTACACCTTTCGGAGTCAGTTTATCAGGTTTCCCCCCCACCGCCATCTTCTTGGCCTTCCTGTCATCCATCCCATCGTTGCTCGCCTCGTCTGTTAGACACGCCGCCTCCTCGCCGCCGTCTGTCACTTCAGGCTCCGCCTCTCCTGCCTTCTTCTTTCCTTTCAGCTTTCCTGGAGAGGTGGACGGGGCGTCAAAACCCCGCCCTTTAGGTGTGGTGGAGCGGGCGGGAGAAATAGCAGCACCGTTACAGGAAGCAGGGTCAGGGTGGAGGGCGGGGTCATCCCCATACTCGCTGTCGGCGTCCTGGTCCAAGCGGACGTCATGGTCGTTGTGGGCTCGGGCCTGGTGGTATTTGAGCCCGTTGATGTGCTTGTACTTTTTGTTGCAGTTGGGGTGGGGGCAGTCGATGAGCACTGGGGAGGGGCAGGTCCTGTCCAGCGGCGGGTGGGGGAGGGGCTCAGACTTCCCTACAGGTAGGGGGAGTGCGGCGCCGGTGGAGTTCGTTCTCATCCTCTTTGATGCCTTGGTGTCCTCGGAGCTGGAGGTGGGCTCCATGTCAGAGGCTGGTTTAGCCTTCCTCTTGGCAGAGGAGGGGCTTGCCTTGGCGTCCTCGACGCCTGTTGTCTGGCTTCCTCTCCGCCCTTTGCTGTTAGCAGCGGCGCCGCGCGTCTTGCTGCTTCCGCTTCCTTTGTTATCAGAGGAGTTGCTGTTGTCGTTCAGCGGCGTGTTGCTGCCGGGACGCATCCTCTTCCCCCGACCACGACCGCTCCGCATCTCCACGTCACTGGTGGGAGAATCGCAGAACCTGAAACACAGAAACAGAGTCAGCAGCCATCAGAAGCAGGAAACAGTAACAGGAAGATTCTAGAACATCAAACCTTAGATTTTCAAATGGCTGCATCATGTTTTTAAAGGACTTGATACACCAAAAAAGAGCTGCCATAACATTAAACATGTTTGAATTTATCATCACGCCAAAACGAGAAAAAGACTTCAAACAGCTCGGATTCTGTTTTATGATGACCTCACAGCAAACGACAGAGATCACAGGAAAGAAAACCCAACTCTGGAAAAACTCTCATGATATTATTTCTGACTTTGGAAATGGTCGCTTGAAAAGTCATCAGGTGTACGGTGAGTCAGTCAGACGTCTGGACAGACTGAAATCCATCTTTAGGACTTCTTCTTTCATTGGGTCATAACAGGTCATGACGTCATACAGTGAAGAAACCTGATCTGTTCAGATTTCTTTCACTTGATGATCTTACTGAAAAAGTCTTCAAGTTGACATTAAACATCTCAGAATTAGATTCACTGCTGTAAACTGATGGATGTATAGATAGAAGTTTATCCCGAGTGTGTACCTTGGTGGCGCCCAGTCGTGTCTTGTGCAGTCCAGCAGGGTCCCAACATACGTTTTATTCCTCCAGGTGACGTTCACAACCAGCATGCCTACACACACACACACACACACACACACACACAGGTCAATAAACATTTACTGAATGCACACTGAAAGCCTGAGTGTGCAACTTGAGAAGTAGATGTTTCACAGTTTCAGACTAAGTACAGCGAGCGGGTTTCTGAGGTCGAGTCTCATCAGTGGTTTGGTCTCAGTTTGACTAGTTTCAGACTTCAAACATGGCGAGCATTTTAGACTAACTTTGCTCTCACATAAACAGATCGAAGTGTCAGGCAGCAGGAAGAGCTCAGTGTGCAGCTGATGTGTGAACAGCTTCCTGCAGGAGAGAGCGAGAGAGAGAGAGCTGAAGTCTGGCAGCTCCTCCTCATCTCCTCAACGCTGTGTGTGTGTGTGTGTGTGTCATCAGCTCTGACCACAGTCTGAGTCTTCACACTGAAGGCTGTCCGTCAGACAGAAACACACGTAAACATGTCGGTTTTAACAGTTTTTATCTCACCGTCCTCGGTCTCCTGCCACACGATGCCCTCCAGGTTGACGCTGGTCCCGGGCTCACAGGGTCCCAGGCACTCCGGCTCTGTGGCCAGCGCGGCGTCCGCTGTGTTCACCGCTACTGAGCGTGTGCGGACCATGATCTGCTCGCAGGGGGATGAGATGTCGCTGTTTGTGACCGGGGCGAGGAGGTGGAGAGGAGGAGGAGCAGGGGTGGAGACAGGAGACTCCATCTGGAGGGAGGGAGAGAGAGAAAGAGAGAGAGAGAGAGAGAGAGAGAGAGAGAGACACCATGACTGTAGAAACTGTTCAATTTGAGTTTATTCATTTGCTGATTATTACAAAAAGTCCCTCAATTAGTCAAGTAGATCTTTGATGGTTCAAATGTAGATCAGGTCCTAAAGCCTTAGACCACATCCTGTGAGGTCTTGTTTAGTCCACATCTCAAAGACACTCAATTATCAGTCTCTGTTCAAGGAGGGAAAATGGGAAATCTTCTCTCCAGAGATGAACTGAGCGGGATAACTAGGGCCGATTTCGATATGTCTGTTTCATGACTTCTTTTGGTGTCAGACTCCCACAATGCAACTTGTTCTCTGAATCCGTCGTTAGGTGTTCTAGATATCAGCATTAATTTGATTTAACACAACAGATAAACAACGGCTGCTGACGTCAGATCATACCACAATATTTACTGATGCCGATATCGTCTGATACCGATGTTAAACCGAAGCATTAGTGCATCCTTAGTTCATTCTTAACAAGCTGAAATCATCAATTTTAAAGAGTTAAAGTGAATAAAAAGTTGACAGCTTTGATCACTTATTGCAGCTCTCAACTGTAAACCAACTAAAGCAGGAGGGAAGGAGTCAGCCCCCGGAGAGATGTACAGAACACACGTTCTACTAAAAGAGCTTAAAGATAAGAAAAAGACCTGCAGACGCTCTTGACGAGAGAACGAGCCACCGGCTGGCTCTGCAGCTGACTGGTTTACCGCCTGGTTAGGACGCTGTGACAATACAGACTCTCCTCTTGAGATAAAAAAAAAACAAAAAACATGGCAGCCCAGAATGCTGGGAAACCCCCTGTGGAGGGGGGAGGGGTCTGTTTTACACCGCCTCTATTGGCTGCAGAGTTTTAACAAAACACACACAAATAGCTCTGGGAAACACCGACTTCCCCAGCGCTCCTCCCCCTCCTCCTCCTCTCCATTCAGCGAGAGGTATTCATTACAACAACAAGCCACATTCCTCTCAAGGTCACTCGCTCGCTCAGAGAAAGAGAGAGTGATTCCTGACTGTGATCATCAGAGACTCTCCCTTTGTTTGCAGAGAGCGGAGGTTTGTTCACAACTCAGCAGCACTTTAACTGATAGAAACAAGGTCTGTTCATTTCTCAGACCACTAAAAACATTGTCACGTTTCCTGGATCAAGTCAGGACACACGTCCTTTGACGCGCGCCATCAGGACTAAGGAAGGCTGGAATAATTTCAGATAATAGGAAACATCCAAGTTGCAGGGCCAGAGGTCCTAAACTGTCTGCATGAAGTATGTTCAGGAGAGACTTTAACTTTTAGTTGAGCTCCATCAAGCAGACGTGACTGGCAGAGGACAAAGGTAGAGAAACACAGAGCGCCAGGTCACCAAACGTAATGAATCAAACTCTTCAACACAAAAGTCTTTTGTGCCGTGTTTCATCTGGTATCAAAAAATAATATACCATCACATACAACTGACACAGTTTTTTGCACTTTTCTCTTCAAGCGCCCTCGACAATTCCTCCTTGAAGTCGGGTGATTTTTGTAAAAACCGAGATTCTTATCTTCTGAGATTTTAAATAGATTCACAAGTTGTTGTTTTTTTTAGCTAATCAGTCACTCCCTGCTAAGTATTAAATCTAGATCTTTAACTCAGTAGAATGCCAAATGGAACAGCAAGAAATTCAGCCATTCTCACAGATGACTGGAGTAGATCCTGAAGTATGGAATAATTAAAACAGACTTTGAATCATGAAGCCATCAATCCAGAATTATTCTGAATCGAAAACAGATTCTGAATCGAATCCAAATCGAATTGAACCGTGATATACCGTGATGCACCTAATGGAACCCCTCTCTAGTCGGCACCAGGATTTCGAGTCTGCTAAATACATTTCTAAATACTTTGGCCCACAATGACGGCCATAAACTGTCTGCAGCTCTGGTTAATGGTCCTGCTCTACAACCTGGATGTAAACGAGCAGAGTGAACAAATAGCATCTTATAGTAGCAGAGCAGTTTGTCAATACTTAGATCTATAAAGTGGAGATAAAAGTTGTTTGTAGGAGCGATGAGTAACCACATTTAGCACAGGCGTTTGGACGTTAACTAGAGGTGGGTGATATGGGAAAAATATCATATCACGATTTTGTTTTGGGCAAAATCCCGATTTTATCAATTTTTTTCATACTGATCTTTAGACTATTTTGCAAGTCACTGACCAGTTCAACCAAACTTATTTCCCTGTGTAATGTTTTTAAATGCACAACAAGTAAAAATGCAGACAAGTTTAATCTATTTGAAAAACATCTTTGTAGGCAGTCTGGAGGTCTCTCACCCAGAACATCTTTAGCAACAGAAATGTCTTTCCCTCAATTTGATCAATATTTATGCACAATTTGAAGGTTTTCCTCACCACTTTGAAATTATGATTTAGTTATGTATCCTCTTTTTATGTTCATCAGGAACATTTTCACGCAGTGATGCATTCATTTAAAAACATGTAGACTTCAAGTGTTTCTGTTCTATTTATTCCCTGCAGAATTCCCACAGCTGTAGCTTCATACAGGCTCTGCAGCTTTTTTACAACATCATTGGACTAAATTTAGTTTGGTTTATATATAATCAAACATAATACAGAATGTGTTCATTCTGTGACACATGATCAAGTTTTACTGATAGAAGAGTTTAATTCATTGAGGGGGCGGGACATTGTTGATTGACAGACAGACAGTCACCATGGTTACTCACTCTCACCTGCCTGCTGCACACAACGTGTACGTTGTTTAGTGTAATCCCTATAAATTCAGTTATCACAACAGGTGAGCTTCAGGTGGAGAAGCTTGATAGTAACTTTTAAAAACCGAGAGAGAACAGAAAACACTGACAGCAACATTTTAAACACCGGGGTTATATCTCTCATCATTGTCTGTCTGAGCTCTGCTCTGTCTGTCTCTCTGCAGACTGTTAACATCTCTCCGCCTCGTTAAACGGTTTCTTGTGTCGCTAACTTAACTGTGCAAACTATGCAGGTAAGTTAACTGTTGCTCACAGCGTGTCGGTTTGGAAAAATATCAGAACAGTTACATATAACCGGGATGGAGTTGTTTTTGTGGACTTTAGGCTACTTTTAAGTTTCGTTTTTGTTTTCGCTGCTGCGGAGCAAAAGAAGGGGAGACGCGTCTGTGTCGGCGCATAAACTGCAGCATGATAGAATAAACACATTAGCCCGGTTCTACGATCTCTCTGCTTTGGCAGATCGTCAGCAAGTTAAAATCCTTCACGATCTAATATCGTTATATCACCCACCACTAACGTTAACCAGCAAGGAGGACGAAGGCTGGTGGTGATAGAGCTGCTCATCGCTTCTTATCTTGAAGGCTGACAACGTGGTGACCGACAGCGGTGTGAAAATGGTCTTCTTGTATCATAACAATGAGCTACCGCCGCCTGCTGGCATGGGGAGTTATTTCCTGTCACGCATGAGCAGATTGTATGTGGTGGTTGGCTGTTGGCTGTAGTCTTTGCAGTGTGTTCGAGTGCAACTTTTTGGCCAAGAGAAGCGACGCCACAGACGACCTTCGTCGCCACTAGTTCTTTGCCGTCTGCTTGGTGTGTCAGGGCCTTAACAGTGATAAAGGCTTTCAGATGGTGATAAGAACCCTTGAAACTCCTCAAGACCATCAAACCACCAACCAACTTTGTGAAGGACCTTCCAAAACAACAACGTGATCCTCAGAGACTTTAGGAAACTCCTGAAGGATCACTTTCCCTCCTCCACTCACACAGGCCTCACTGCCGCCACACACTTTGAGGACTGTTTGAAAGGAACAACAGGTTAGGATCCATTTCTCCAGGAGATGCCGAGACAATGAATTCATATCTGGAACGGAGGGGGAGGAAGAGGGACCGGGAGGGAACTCTGCTTGAAGGACGGCCAGGACTCAAACTCTGAGAACGAGTGTGACGTCTGAGAGAAGACGAATGGAATTCAAGACTAATTCAAACCCAAATTAAACAATGTGGGAGAAACAAAAGCTTCCAAATCAGTGAGGTGTCCTCAACTTAAACAGTTTCACATACTTTTATTTTTTCTCTGAGTGCTCGTCCCCTCACGCTGAGGAAAACATGAGTACAGCTGTCGTGGGGTTCACGTGACCTTTTCTGTTTAACTCACTTCCAGGAACATCAGGCCGCAGAGCCGAGGGGTCAGAGGCGCGTTAGCTTCTCCAGATATTTCACTTCCACTTACTTTCTCAACGAACGCACAGCCTCCTGCTCCTGTTTCCCAGAAAGCCCCAGGAGAGAGAGTGTGCTCTGCTCTATGCTGCAGGAGGAGAGTTAGCTAAAGCAGCAGCCATGTCTTCACAGAGAAGAATTCGCAGGACTCAGACGCTTTCTGACGGTCGCTTATAAGGGATGCTCCGACACAACTCTAAGTCCCACAGGGATAGTCTTCTGCTGTGAGGTGCATGTGTGAACAACCACATCAGGAGGATTATAGGGGCAATCCTCCTGAAATTCTCCAGACATTATTTAGGGGTGCGTATTAGAAAGGCAGTAATCATGTTACTGGTGTGTTCTCTGTGAAAAGTTTTTAGCTTTAGGCCGTTAGCATTGCACTGTTTGGTACCGCCACAGCTCCAGGTATCTGTGATGAAGCTCATCACTGTTACCTCCATTAACTCTGCTGATGAATGTTCTCGTACATTCAGACAGAGCGTGCACAGTTAAATATTGACTTGATGTCAAACTGAACCGTGGTTCCATAAATGTTTCAAACCATTACTGAGAAGCAGACAAAGTTTCCTGCTTTCTTTAGTTACATCTGTCTTCTTTGTTTGTTTAAACACATCGTGCTACCACCTATCACTCCAAACATTAGCTTAACAGAAATAAAGAATATTTATAGAATTTGTTGGCGTATCACCCTTCAAATACATGCAAACTGCTGAGCTCTTGTTGGTAGCTTCCTC